AGGTTGATCCTTAGCTTTCAAGGCTAATTTAATTAATGTAGTACTTGTTTTTCCTTCGATTTTCAAGGTTTGATTAGCAAAAGAGCCGAAGGTTTTTCATGGTTTCAAGTGTCAGCATCCGCTGCCATAAATGCAATTAAACTGGTATAGTCCATGTTTATTCAGCTACTGTAAGAATTTATGAAAGAGGAGAGTCCTGACACAAACTAACCCCTTTGTACATCAATATTAAAAATAAAAAAAAAAACGAATGGCATCATCAGCCATTGTAAGTAGCCATCACCAACAAGATAGCTAATGATATGAATTGATACTTATTCATATAATTCATAGAATGGGAAATCAACAGCGAGGTTTCTTCGTTGGCACATGAAACACTATTTCTCGTTCATTTTGAGGCTGCAAAGGCCTGGCATTGCGCTCTGCGTGCTGCCATAATTCAATCAAAAACATGAATTAGTGATTACATATATAGTACTTCAACTTCAATACATAATACACTAATTTCATAAGATCAACCTAATTAAAATACTTACATCGTGCACTGCCTCTCTCAGCAACTTCACTTGCTCCCTCGAAATTGTTCTTATCTGATCACGCAACAATCCATTCGTAATTTCAAAATTGCATCAAATTCAAATTGTGCATGCGTTTGATAGATTAAATTGCTTCTATTATGCATTTCTCTTATTTTTATAATATAATCAGGCTTCTTCCGTTGACATTTTATTAACACATCATCTGATTTGCTCTTACTTTCCGCCAATAAAATTATTATTTGAAGTAATCAACTCCCAGTACAAAATATTTTATACTCTCCATTATTGTATATAATCAATGAAAACAACCTAATAATAAAATTGAATTTAAAGTCAATTATTTGTGTGAATAAGCAAACTGAAAGGTGGAATACCTTATGGTTGATGATCCAAACGACACCTTCAGTGCAGGGAGGAACAGTGAGAGAGCCCATATATCTGTAGTAGCTTCTGCCTTTCAGCCTTATTTCGGAAGGGTGAATCTCTCCAATCTCCTCTTCCTCTATCTCATCCACCATTTCCCTTATGTATTTTTCCAACTGTATCCACACAATCAGTTTATATTTATTTATTATTACACCTTCAGAGAACAACAAAATGATAGTTATCTTTAAACAATAGGAGTTACCTTGGACAGGAACGGATCGGGGCGACCAATCTTGTACAGAAGTCCAACAACCACAACCTCTTCTGGGGTTGAGTTGGTATGATGAACCATGTGAAGCTCCAGGTCATACCTGCAACAACATTATTCAAACAAACAAAACTCTCAATTTCATGAATATATAGAAATTCTCAACCCTCCTAAAGATATGAGCTCGTTGCAGAAAGAGAAGACAGAGACCTCCTGCCGTTGATGGTATGCTCGGAAGGTGAGTGCCAGTGGGCTTGCTGCAGAAAGAAATCAGAGCCATTGATGCATATGGAGCCTGCATCTCCTTCCCATTTCACCTGCACACATATATCGACTCACCCAATTCAGCGCGCGAGATGAAACCCAAAATCACATTCCGTGCAAGAGTGAGATGAATCAGAATGACGTGCCTGAATATCATGGCCTCTGTTCTTGAGCGTAGCATTGTGAGGCTTGTAAGTGTTTTTGATGAGCCCTAATCCGGGGATCACTCTCACTCTGCGAGCCGACAAATCAATAGGAGATTGCGATTCTCCGTGCTTGCAAGCAGCCCATTCCTTTTTCAGGTGCCCCCAGTGCTGGGGTCCCTTCTCGCTCCCCTTCATGTAGTCGAACTCTCTCTCATCCTCTGCACAACACACACACTAATTAATCATTACAAGAACAACTCACATAACCCAAACGCCCAAATATTCTGCATACCAACTTCCTGGGCTCTGCTCAACATTGAATGTGCCGAGATGATGATCAGGCCTAATATCAATGTCGTGAGCCTGCTCTGGGACTTCATGCTTCAGGGTTGAAAGAGGATCTACAATCCTGGTTTATATATAGCGACGATGATCTGAGATGCGAGCGCAAGATTAGGAAGGGGAGAGAGACACTTGATTCCAGGGTCGTTCACCTCCCAAGTCAGCACCTTTTCCTTTGTTTTAAATCTCAAATAACCTGTGCTCGTCCTTTTTTATTTGGCCCTTATTAGTTGCGATGCAAGTGTGAATTGAGTCGCCTCTGGTGCAGTGGTGCTGACAAGGACACGGGATCGTCTTGGTCCAACGAAGACTACGCACAGTGACACGGACAGCCTGTCTGTCTTTTGCACATCTTATTCCTAGACACCAATCGAAAACGAGTAAACGACAGTATCGGAGCTGGTGACTTACCTTTCCATTTATTACTTGTCATTTTGAATAACGTGAGAAACTTGCACTGATCAGTGAATGAACAAATACAAGAACAAGAAAAGACACCTATAAACTTTCATCAACTTCTACCTCGCCTCTCCGTTAATCTCCCTCGCTTCCGCGCGTCAGAGAGTACAAATGTGGACTGTGTGTTTATATATGTTATGCTTCATTAATATTACTCTGCATTTTATGCTAAATCGGTGCCGAAAGAAAAGAAAGAAAGACGGGCTAATATAATTCCTACCGTTATTTCATGACCATTTCAAAAAGGAGAGTAGAAAAATTTAGAAGGTTGTTCATCCAAATCCAAGAAAGCATGATCTTTATCATTTTGAGGATATAATTTATTACTCCCTCCCATTTAAAAATGCCTCAAATCTCAACCCAATAAAATAATTACTTATTTTTAAATTACTATTATCTTTTTATATATTCACCCTTATTTAATACTCTTTGGTCTTATTTATAAGTCACTTTCAGCATGTTTCATTTGAATTAAAAAAATTTTAAATCTTATTAACTTTGTCTTAAATTTTAATAAGTTTTTACCTTTACCCTTAATAAATATTCTTAAATCTCATCACTATTATTTTTATTTAAAACATTTAACAGAGACAAAAAATATAAAGAGGAACATTGAAAATTAACAAATACCCTATAAATATGATTAAATTTTTTCTTCTCTTCCTATCCTATAAATAGGACCAAAGAAGCAAATTATTTTACTATAAAATAATTTATTTATTAGGAGTATTTTTGAAAAAAAGAATCATATCTTAAAATACTAAAAATGCTCTACATTTTTTATCAGAGGGAGTACTCTTGTCCCAAATTGCACTACACTTTTGGGGAGATTCGATATTCTAAAATATAAGACATTTTGACAAAATTAAGATTTTATTAATGATATTTTTTAATAGTAACCTTCACATATATTCTTTTTTTTAATATTTATTTACAAATAGAGTATTAAATGGAGGAAATTTTTAAAATTTTGTATTTTTATTTTAAAAAAATAAGATTGTAAAACATATTTAATGATATTTATTAGTATATGTAATTTTATCTAAAAATGTTTTATAATTTGAGGTGGAGAAAGTAATATTTTTATTAATTTTGAGCTTTCTCCTTGACAGATTGGGCGTTTTTTTTTCTTTAACCTAATGCCATCGCAGAAGACGACACCGAGAATCGTATCTACCCTCCCAACAACCACTTACCGCGTATGGCTAATTGAAGTCTGAATTCAGCTCGTTTTGCATTCCAAAAGGGTTTTAATTAACCACGGGAAAATAATTTCAAATTAGAACAAACATCTGTTCCATGTGACCTAATATAATACTAATACTAATTACAGCTTGGTTGACAAGAAAAGGGAACATGGAGTTTTTCTTTCTTATACGGGTTTGGTAAGTGCGAATTTTCTAATCGTTACACTAACGTTCAACACGATTTTCAACATTAGCCGTTTTAACTCGTGCAACGTAAGTGATAAAATCGAGTCGGATCATATGATCAATGATCCGTTTTCTTTTCCCTGAGCATCCTAGCAAGCCGTCTCAATTTCGAGGTGCATGATTTTCTAGTTATTTGGGTCCGAAAAAAGACGAAGGTGGTGGAACCCCACACGCTTCCTCGAAGCATCCGACCCAACTGCCTAGGAATTATTGGGAAAGAGGGAGGCAAATGTAACATAAAGTATTATATAGCTACAAATTCTGATCATGAACCATGGTGGTGGGTATAGGTGTTTGTATGACTATTATCATTTTGTTAGTACAGGTGTCATGCTTTAATTCTTTGTCTATAACTATTACACCAGGGAAGCTGAATCTTAATATTGCCATGACACCAGATGGACGGGCAGATACGAGACATAGCATCGGAGTTGTATCATGGTTCTGTCATCAAGACGCAGGGAAAATATCAGAATGTTATATTTCCAAAGATATTTAATCAAACAAATACCAAGCTGATGCCGATCTGGGAGTCCAGTGTTGAAGGTTAAAATAGGTGATGTTTTGGTTAAGTGCATACAAGCAGTAGTATCTGGATTGTCGAAAGAGAGAGGAGATAAGTGAAGCAGCACTAACAAAATGAATAACAGTACCCGCTAATCCACCTAACAATGCAATGCGGCAGATCTGCACTTGAGATATTTCCAGCCATCACCACTTCTATAAATAGAGTCGAGGGTAAATTTTGCTTTGGGCATCACCAAGCTTGAAAATAAAACCATGGAATCGAAGGTCAAGGTTGTGACAGTAACGCTACTGCTAGTGACGAGGGGGGAGTTTGGGTGGGGGATATCAAGAGGAGGATGATGATGATGAGGAATGAGGCTGAATCAGCATCAGATTCAGCAGTAAAAGAAATAGGCAGTGAAAGCGTGGAGAGTGATGAAGATATAAATAATCACCATGGTATTCCCAGAGACGACTGGAACAAGGGGCATTATCAACCTGCTCGCCGATCACCTTAGGCTTACTAAATTTGTACTATCAATTTTGTTAGGACTTGCTAGAGACTAGAGCGCGATATTGCACCGTAGATAGTCTTTTCCTGTCCCTCGTAATTGTGTGTTTTGCCTGTTCATGCTGCTACAACTTTTTATCCATATGGCCATATCGTCTTTAGAGGTCTTCCAACCTATCATCGATAACAATATAAAATATAACAAATGGAGGAAGCCATTCTAGTGCTATTGTATTTCATTACTGGTGCTAGATGAAATATAAACTAAACCTATCAGTAAAATATAAACTATTGTATTTCATTACTAGTGCTAGAAGGAAATCAGACAAATTCTGGGTTTCTTTCTTTCTTTCTTTCTTTTTAGAATTTCGGCACTTTGACCCTAGACTTGGTTGTGCCAAAAAAAAAAAAAAAAGACCCTAGACTTGGATGGAATTTAGTTTCGTCCACTAGAAATTATGCCATGGGCATCTCGCGAGCACATAAATTAGCATCAGGTGCTTCGTCATCCACTAACTCGCGTGATGCGGCATCAACGCGGGAACAAGCAGCTCAGCTTCCATTGGAACAAACATGGCGTCCTTTCTTGCCTGAAAAAATTAGTCACACAAATGAAGTACCCAAAAATTGGAAGGGAGAAAAACCCTCCCATTTAGATCATTGCTCGTGTTCAATATGCCATTTTGGGGAAGTGAGTTTCAGCCCAGCATCCCCACAAAACACCATGCCTTGATGTTGCAAGCAAGATGCCTTAGGCGGAGGAAAAAAGCCCAGCTTTATGCTATAAGATGCTGAGAACAAGGTTCGAATTCAGTGTCCAGAGAATATGAAAGGGAAAAAAATTCCATATTTCTCTTTGCAAGGGTAAAAAACACAAGAAAGCATTTCCCATAAGATTCTTAATCTGCAGCAATGCATTTAAGTTACATTTACCACGGCTCTTTTCCAACTTGTTAATTATCCAAAAGAGATAAAATGAGAACGTAGAAGCAGCAGAAAAGAGACAAAAATGTTTTTTTTAATTTTTTTAATTTTTTGGGAAGGTGGGGGGAAAGAGGGAAAGAAGGAAATTAATAATCAATCGTATTCGTACCAACCGAAGTGAAGAGGAGCAAAATTACTTCCTAACTTGTTTCGCATATCCAGTCACTCCCAGTTGCTGAGGTGATGATGCGAGGTCAGGCTAAGCTGTAACCATGTGATTCCCTCTCCCTGCAGCCGCATCAGCTAGTCTCTTCCAATTCAATTCTCTCTGCTCTTCCATCGATTTGGCCTTCGCCTCTTTCTCTGCATATTGCCTCTGGCACTCTTCAAACAATTCGGCATCCATTTCCGTGAACATTTTCCGTACGTTCACAGTCAACCCATGAATCGCCTGGTTCCAATGACTCTGAATATTTTTCTCCAGTGCTTCATATATTATCGGGAATATCACAGCCCGGTTTTGGGCTATCAAGCTAACAATATGCTCATTATTCCATAAAAACAGGGCTCGTTCTGCAACCTGCATCACAAGCGAAGCTTAGCATTGATTTCTAAGGGGAGCATTCGGAAATACTATAGTTGCCAATACCCCAACCAATCGGTTCAGTTCTAACTTCAAATAGATTCACGGCCATCAAGATAAATCCAATATATCAGGATCTTTAAACCAATAAAATTTGACACACATAAACAAGTCACAGTCCCACAGAACCAAGTCTGAGGTATCTCCTCTTCTACAGGAGCTCCCCGCCTCCACCTTACAGCGACTGAAACCATATTGGTGAGGGGGAGATGACAAAATCAGTCACACAGAACCCAATCTGAGTCTGAGGTATAAATCCTCTTCTATAGGAGCTCCACCTTACAGCGACTGAAACCATATTGGTGAGGGGGTTGACACGGCCAAGGATTAAATAAAAATTTCCCCAACAATCTCCAAGCAGTGAGGAAAACCATCCATCACTCATATTTTCACGCCATTTTGTTGGGTTTAATTCAAGATCAAACCTAATAACGTGCTAAAGCTCTTGAAACATTCATTAATAGACCGAAACCAGATTTGGTGAAGGTGAAAACACAGGAAGGAGTTTTTTTTTTTTTCCCCAACTTGAAAAAAACTTCTGCCCTTCAGAATCTTGAAAAAATGCATTTTATTTTTGCCAGGAGGACAACACACACACACACACACACACACACACACCACACACACACACACACACACACACAGAAAACTGTATGTACAGTGGCAATCAAACAAGAAAAAATGATTTCAATATACTGCTATTAAAAGAACATAAGCTTGATGCAAACACAGAGTTGATTGTAATTGCCAGAACCTGATTATTCAACTAGAATTTCTGGCCTAAAAAAACAAAGAAAAGTTATTCTACTAGAATAATATATAAGTTAAGGAAAATATAACTTTAGATCCCTGCACTTTACTCGAGTTTTACTATAGGTCCTTACACCTTTTTTTGATGTTTTAGGTTTCTACACTTAAGGATTCACCACACTTCAAACCTGTAAAAAATCAAGCCAATTGCAATGCAGTAGGAGCTACTTTATCTCTTGCTCAAAAGGATATTGGTAGAAATTTGGCCTATTCTACAACGTCAGAATTCATTATAGAGGTTGAAGACACACACCCCCCCCCCCTGATTTAAGAAATAATTTGCATTGTGCTATCAACTGCCTGAAAGAAAGGTTAAGACTGACACTTTAAGAGAGCCGTGCAACCCAAATGCTGGATCCTGGAAAAGCCAGAAAGCCCTGGATAGTTTCTTTAGGATTCTGATTTTGTGACCTGATTGGTGTTATAAATATTTTGCTAAACCAGCATGTGAATTCTGGTATTACAAAAGCTCGAGAATTTCCAGGCAAGATTCACTATCAGCAAAACCCATTACAACTCTCAAATTTCCTGTCAATGCAATTCAATGCTTATTTGGCTTAGATATTTCCCCCCTTGAAGCAAATAAGGGATTAAATAAATTTGAAAAGGCTAAATTTTTACACTGGAAAAGACGCCAAATAACTGCTTTTAAACCAAAAATTACTTTGGGCTTTATTTTAATAGTTAAAAAAACCCCTGCAAGAACTTGATCTGTTTCACTAGCATTTGGCTTCCAGTTTCCACAAGTGTTGTAGTCTCATTCTGGTGGACTCCATTGGTAGTACAATTAACTGCAGTGCCAGGCTTCAACAACGTTGGAGCCTCAATGAAATTCTTTGTTGACCAGCAGCAAAAATGTGGAGAACTTTTCAGATTAGAACTACCATAAAAAAGAAGCATGTAATTTAAAAATCATTACTTTAAAGAGTGACGAATCATATTGTAAAATGATGACAAGACCATCTACAATTACTATTAATAGATTTCTGCAAGGAAATCAATTAAGTAGTTTGCAGATACACATATTAACAAAATCAAGCAAGAAAGGCAATATATATCTATCAAAACCAGCTCTCACATACTCTCAGTTTTGTTGACAGCCTCTCGCCCCAAAAGTAGATAACCTCTTGCCCCAAGTCATATATACTTTCCCTCACCCTTGTGAAATCTCAGATTTTTTATGAGAATAAATTAGATCAAATCCCTGCGATTTGTCCCATAATCATTTTGTTATGTGTAATTTGAGCTGTAATATATAACTCCCAAACAATTCAGCCTTGGGGGGGGGAATTTATGGAGAACTGACTTAGTTAGTCCACCTCCTTCATATTTAAATGTAGTTAGCATAGTGCATCTGATAGGAACCTTTGAAAGAGCGATACCCCAAAAGCTAGCCCCCGATGTTGGAGAGGCTAAAGTCCCCATAATCCCCAGATCAAGTCTCATACTTACCATTTAAAACTCAAGTCCATACCTAGCAATGGATCCTAGTAGAGCCCTGCCATTCATAATGATCACAATGGGTTCACTCTAGACATTTCACTTGTCATCTTGATGGTCATAACCACTTGATAGCCTCCTTAGTTTCTAGCATGTGAAAAATGAGCTCCAACTCCATTCCTATTGATAGAACCTTTATCAGAGTCATACTTTGAAAGCTAGCTCATGAGCTTGAAGAGCCGAAAGTCTATAAAATCCCATACTTCCAATGTTGAGCTCCAGACTCATCTTGCAATGGATCCTAAGACATCTTTCTCATGCAAAGAGTACTTATCTTACATTCTTACTAGCAAAAAGGAAAAATAATACAAATCTAAAGGTAAAATACCATAAATTTATAAGAGGCATATTATCACTTTTAGTTATGAAATAGAGGGTTAGGGGTTCAAAAAGGAAAGAGGGTTGATGTAGGCCAGCTAAACTACAATTTTTTCATTAAAACCTCCCTAACTGGAAAGCAGATATTCATGTCAAGGTACTAAAGTGCACCCTTTTCATCGATAAATTTGGCAATCTAACTTCTTGTCCAGAGAGATGTCTTGTCATGCACATTAATTATATCACCATTCAGTTCCTAATTTATTGGCATTCGTAGAATATTAAATACACCCTTATGAGGATTGATAAAATTCAGAGAAGATTATGCAGGCAAATAAATTCCCTCAGCGGTTATTATTAAAATTACAATCCAATAATCTAAGCCATCAACCATATTTTTGTTTCCCTTTTCATTGCAGGGAGGTTATCTAAAATTTAAAAGGCAAATAACATTCGCAACTCAACAAGTAACAATAAACCCAAAGCTAGCTTGAAAAGGGAATATAGACGTTGAATTTTGTATAGCCAGCCTGCATGCAATATAAGTTCAACAGACATCATGAATATCCCTCTTTAATAGATACCAGTATCATAAGACAGCTATTGCTTTTCCTATCAAACAAAACATTGATAGATGCATAGCATAAAAAATAACAAAAAACAAAGAAGCAAGACTTTACACAAAACACTAGAAGCCGTTCAACCAGCATCGTAATTAAGAACCATTGCCATTAATCCGAATCAATACCATTATACAACATGATTTACCACAAACCTGAATGTGAGGACTGTTGAGACAGCGGCCAATCTGTCTGAAAAGGGGCACCATGCAGCGTTGAAATTCCGCACCCTGTGTAGCTTCCAGCACTTCCTCCAGTTCTCCAAGGAAGAGAACTTCCTTCTGGCAATTGGTCAGCGGCCAATACTTTAATAGGCCCCTAATAACTGTATCTGCCAGCTTGAAATCCTTTTCAACAAACTGAGTGATACAATATGACAACTGCTGATGATAGATAGCAACGGGCTTAGGTTTATGTAGAGGAATAAGGGCTCGAACAAGAAACAACTTGTGCTCCTCTTTCATTGGCAGTGCAAAGCCATTGATTATACTGCCGAGAATCTCAAGAAGCTCTCCGACACCGCTATGCCTCTCAGTCTCATATATAAACCGGTAAAAAATGTTATTAATTGCCTTCCTAATAAATGGTCTATGAACCATGAATTTTCCGTATATACGATGTAGGATGGTTTTCAGATATTCTCGCTCCCGATGGTCCTCAGAGTCAAACAAATCAAGTAATTTCAACACAAAAGAATGATCAATGTATCGCTTGGCAACCTTGGTGTCGGTATCCGACGACACCACATACCTCAGAAGCAGCTCGTACACAAGCTGCAGGTGGGGCCATGCTGGTTCCAAGCAAGGTTCCTCCTCTTCTGGGTCGTTAACCTCTTGCCCTGTATTTTCATGCGAAGCCGGAGGCAAGCACCGGAATATATTTACCGATATCATTCTAATCATTTCTTCCTGACAATTTTCCGTGATCTTCCCTGACCCGGATTGTATAAAGTCAACCAACTCCATTAGCGCCTGTCGCTTGATTTCCTTCTCTCGAACTGACTTCAAGTTGTCCGAGAAATCCAAGACGTAACAACAAACCTGCAACTTCCGAAGGAACAAATTCTGCCTCTCCGTAGCGGGCACATCCCGGAACGAGGGGAGGGGTTCCATGGCACCTGAAGGAGGAGGCCCGCCCAACGTAAGGCCTGACGCGCCGGTACCAACTTTGGTGACGCCCACGTTGGCAGGCGCCGCATTGCGGTTCCCAGGGGAGCCGTTTCCATAAAGCGGTCTGTCATTGGGATCAGACTTAGAGGGCTTTTTGCCCCCACCCTTCATGATTTTCTTGAACATTTTCGAAATGCAACAAACCCTAACCCTATATTCCCTAGCTCATGAACAAATTCAGAATGCAGCTCATGATTGGATTCCGAGCGTGTACAGCGAAAACATCAAACGCAGGAAAAGATAACCGTGCCACGTTCGCAATCCACAAATAATTTTCTTCCCCCAGTTTTCGAATCAAGACACAAAGGCACACGGATCTGTAAGTGGGAGGTGGAACAAAGTAAATTTGTGAGGGTGTTCCCAAGTGCTCCAAAATTGACAAACAATGGATCAAGTCAGCAAATAAGCCATGTCGCATCACCGGAATGGTGGCCCGATGATCGGTCGGAGAGGCGTTCTGGCGATCAACCAGTCGAAGATAGAACAGGCGGCAGATACAGAGGGAGAGACGTTGAAAGTGGCGAAAGTGGGGAGATAATTAAGGAAGATAGAGAATTAGAGAGGAAAATATGACGATGGATGATGATTATCCATTACAATTTTACAAGCACGCTTTTTTAAAATGGTAAATCGGTTTATCTTTGCATTATTTTCAGTTTATTTGTTATTTCCCCGTCCTTCTCCCGTGCTTCCTCATACTCACCATGAAATAACTAAAATTGCGAAAATCATTTGAAAAAAGGAAAAAGGTCAGAGTAGATAGGGAAAAGCACGAAGAGTGCAAGTGGAGCTAGTGTGTGGAATACGTGGGTTATAAAAGAAGAACGAGGAATGAGATGGTCCCACGTGGCACACGAAAGTAACATGTTCACGGTTCACCTGATGGATTTGGTAACAGTCTTGTGTCAGGATTCGGGAACGCGATCGGCTTGCTCCTTCGTCGTCATCGGCTTAACTGCCAGATATTTTTTCGGTCTCTTTTTTCTGTGGCCGGAGTTAAATTGCCAGTCATTTTGTTGCCATGAAGCTATGAAAATTGAAAAGCGGACTCCCTTAATTAATTACGCCAGTGACCTTTTTTGTTAACACGTGAGTTTCTGGGTAATGGTACAGATATTTCTTTAAAAAAAGGGCCAATAGTGGTGTTGTTTTGTTTGTTGGCAAAAACAAAAAAACAAAAAAACAAACGTAATTGTTATAAATATTATGATATAATTGTGAGTGTTCATAATTTTTTAAGAGTTATCTTTTGACATTTTCAATTAAAAGTTAATACCCTACGGCATAAATGGCTTCTTAATATTATTAATTCATGTAATATCCAAATATTTCTCTTCTTAGTCATGGTCCCCACATTAGGACTAAGTGGAAACCTCCTCAAGAGGAATACTTTCATCTTGATGTTGATAGTTCTATTCTTGTTAGGGGTAAAACAAGTTGTGGAGGGGATATAATGGATATATAGCAAGGGTAGATGGGTTAAAGGTTTTACTTGTAAGACCAATGATTTTTCAATAGCTATAATGAAAGTTATTGCAGTGATAAACGGCCTGAATGTTAACTCTCAATTGTAGTTACAAAGAATTGAAGTGTATTCTAATTAAGCTGAAGCCATCCGACTTATTGTAGGAGGAGCCCATGCTAGCCACCCTTTTAGTGGCATCGTTGAATTAACAAGACTATTTTTTAAGAGAAATTGGCTTATCTCTTTTCAATACTCTTGCCATGAAGCTATTCAATGTGCCCACCGCCTTGCTAAGCTCTCCCATGACATTCATTGTGATTTTTGTTCTTTTGATGATCCCCCAACCCTATGTAGAAAGTTGGTGGATTATGAGAAGATGTGTATTGTAATTTATTGGGTTTGCTTTGGTAGTTTCAATTTCTATTAAAAAAAGATTTTTTATATATAACTCTTGTAATAAAATTTAGTTTATTTAAGGACGCATGGCTTATAAATGATAGGTGTGTATCAAGTAATTGTAAGTTTGAAATAAACAAGAATTATTCCCTATTTTCCTCTTTCAATTTTTTCTCACCTTGTTTATTTTTCTCATATCAATTTCTTATATTTTCATAACAGTGATATGTTTTTCTAACTAATGTGTAACACACCAATTTTTTTTTTTTAAATAATTTAACTCAACCATAGTTGGGTTACAGCCATCCAACACATTTTTATATCAATAATTTCAATATAAAATATTTTATAATTGACTTCAACTCACACACTATAACATTTTAGATAAATTTTTACCTCCCACATGCCATTAGGCTAAATCATATTTGTCCATCCTTGTACTCCCAACAAGTAAAATAAGCAATTTAGTCAATTTTCAACACAAGCTAGTTATTTGGCCTTATAATCATGCCATTTTAACCAATCCAAAGTAAACCAAATATTAAAATTACAGTCATCCAAATTGTATCAAAAATAAAAATAGTTTGAAAGGCATGATTACATTTATATATTCATATAATTGACAATAAACAAAAAGCCCTAATATTCGCAATATAACACATTATAAATCATAAATTAAATACCCAAAAGAGACAGTGGATTTATACCACTAAGCCTCTGGGACTCCTCCACGTGTCACCCGTGGCTCTTCTCCTGAAAATTGTTAACCATATAATGAGACTCAAAAGTCCCAGTAACCAAAGTCAATTTATGATAGTGTATACAAACAGTTAAGTGTGTGCTTACTAAGTGAGAATTAAAAATAATATAATTCCAACAAATATATGAAATATTACAATACACACAAACAACCATCCTTATATCCCTCCATTAACCTCGAGCCGTAGCCCTCACTCGGTGCTAAATTACCCGGCTAAAGGTAGATTAGCTCAAGCCCTTACAAGCCACCTATTGAGCTCCAATAGGGGCGTACCACGTGGCACATAAATACAACAACAATAGCAAGTCTCCCAACACCTCCCACAATAATCAAATAAATTCATAATAATCTTACACAATTATATAATATTAAAAAATTTATAATTTTCTCAATAATCACCCAATTAACATGAAGTAACACAAATCACAAATTAAAAGCATGGTTACCTTGTGGCTTTTTCAATAAATTATTCCTTAAAATTTTCTCTCACCACAATCTTCACCAGTAATACAATCTACAAATAACATATTATTTATAAATATTAGTTTCAATTTTTGAAACTAATAAAATAATTCTAATAATAGAATTAAAAATATAACATAATTCCTAATCTCAATCTTAATACAAATCTATAGTTAATACTATTAAGTAAAATTTTTAACTCCTCTTTTAATTATCAATAAACATTAATAATCTAAAAATCAACTTCTAAATTAATTTATATTATCAAAATTTTCTTTCTATTTCATAAATTCATACCTAAAATACTCAAAAATTAAAAATTGAGTCTCTAGCTTAGAATCATAATTCTATAACCATAATAATTCATTTCTCATCCCAAATAATCATCTAAACCTCAATAAATCAACATATATCTTTAGATCTAGTGTAGAATTTGATCCATAAGTCACAAATTCAAAGATCATCAACAAATTTATACTTTAGAACATTTATTATACTACTGACAACCTCAAAAATCATATTTATTCAACATAAATTCATCCCTCTTCCAAATCTTAAATTTTCTACCACCACAAAATCAGAAACCAAAGAGTAAGGATGACTAAGAAAATTTTTTAGAACACTTACTTAGTCTTGAAAAGCTTAAAATCACACCCTAAATATCTTATTAAAAACTCTTACCTTAAAAACTTAGATCTCCCGCACCGGCGACTCACGCTCACTCTGCCTCAGCTTGCGCACGAAGGAAAGAATGAAGAAATGAAAGAAAACGGGCGAGTTTTATAAAAATTCAGTGGGTCCCACATCTTTGTTTTTATTATTTCTTCTTTCCTCTCTCTCCCTTTTTTTTATTATTTTATGTAATCATGACGCGGCGCCGAAAGCAACTGGTTTTCTTCTTCTTCCTCCTTTTTTTAATTCCTTTTCTTTTTCTTTTTTTATTATAATAATTTAATAATATTTTTTTATTTTATTTTTTTTTATTTTTTTATTTTTTTTATTTTTTTAAATTTTTATTTAGAATTATATCCTAAGTTAGATTTAATGATCATTTTCTACTAATTTACTTACCTCTCAATATTTTTTTTTCAAAATTTCTATTAATTCAAATTAACTATTAAAATTTAAATTAGGATGTTACATAATGCATAATGTTGGATGTTAATAATTTATCATTTCATTATTTTTTAATTAATCATCAAATGAAAAATATAATCATATTGTTTTTGAAGATATCTTTATAGCTAGTAACTATAAAACTAACCTATCCAGAAAATAATCACCTTGTTTTCGAACTTATATTGTATCAAATAATAATTATGACACCATGTTTAGTGACACGGCGTATATCGTTATATTACGTGGATCAAAGTTGTTCGTATGTGAACAACAAATAACCCAGCGTGCTAGAGACGTTGAGTCTCAATTGATAATAAAAGGTCCCGAGCTCCATTGCCACATTTCACCTGGATGTAAAAAAATGCAAGAAGTAGTAGAACAAGTGTTTTTGACTTTTATTGAAATGTAAAAGGTTATAAGTCTAAATTAAAGGTAAAAATGAACTGTTAAACCTAAAAAGCTATGAGTGCAGAATATGAGTCTTTGTTGAGTGTTGACTGTCTCTCTTTTATAATTTTGTATTCTATTCATAGTGTCAGAGTGATGATAACCTCTCTCTCAAAACCTAGAACATTTTGTTGAAGAATTAGGGATCCTACAAAACTCATGGCACGGTTTTTACTCAGTATTTTTTATTTTTGGCAATCAGCCTATCTCACCAAGATATTGGGCACGATGATGTTGTTCCCATAAATTTTGGGATTACTTAGGATTATATCTTTATGTGCCAAAGTTCTAATGTTTGCAACTGGCAAGATCTTAGCATGTCCATCCTATCATGGCTTTCTTATTGAGCTCGAGGCTGACCCCTTTATTCAGATTGGGCCTAACTTTTCAGTTACTCAGCCCAAATAGCTTTATGACTTATCAAGCGACGTTTCATATTTTAGCTTAAACAATGCCCCCCGCATGCTAGTGGTTGATAACGTAAGTCACATGGCACGTTTGAAAAAACTGAAACATCGCTTCATCCCCGAGTGCCTTTTGTTAATATAAATTTATTTTTTCTGGTCATTTCTATTACCCTTCTTGCCATTTCTTATCATTTAAGCTTTTACATCCCTTGCTTTAATCTTCCCTTTGCTAAAAAATGGCTTCATCTACTATTGCTACTGTAACAGTACGGAGCCACCCCTTGGGCCTCGACTCGGTACTGGACTCTGGCCCATCACTGGACCAAAGCCGACTTTCCCACAGGTGGTACTGTGGTTATTCCTCACCACTGCCTCTCCAGGGTCTTTTGGAACCTCCCCAGACTCGAACCTCCAACCTCTACCACCTTAACGAAGTTGAGGCGAAGTCTGGTACCATTGAGGAGGTTCGAGTCTGGGGAGGTTCCAAAAGACCCTGGAGAGGCAGTGGTGAGGAATAACCACAGTACCACCTGTGGGAAAGTCGGCTTTGGTCTAGTGATGGGCCAGAGTCCAGTACCGAGTCGAGGCCCAAGGGGTGGCTCCGTACTGTTACAGCTACTACCTCTACTGTTTCTCTATCTACCACTTTTACTGGAAGTTTACCTAATTCCCTGGTGACCATCAGGAAT